TAGCACTCTGGGAGGCCAAGGTGGGTGGATTGCATTAGTTCACGGGTTTGAGACAGCCTGAGCAAGAGGTATACCCTAGCTCTTAAAAAAAAAAAATAGTTGGGCATGCCTCTAGTCCCAGCTACTTGGGAGGCTGAGGCAAGAGAATCACTTGAGCTGAAGAGTTTGAGGTTGCTGTGAGCTGTGATGCCACAGCACTCTACCAAGGGTAACATCGTGAGACTCTGTCTCAAAAAAAAACAAAAGAAAAGAAAATAGGCATTACTATTATTATTACACTTGTTTTCCAGAAGAAGAGACAGTTTTGAGTAAGTTACATAACTTGCTCAAGATCAACCTGCTTACAGATGGTAGATCTAGGCTTATAGCCTCATGTCTCTTGAGATTTTTCTTTGTGTATTATTTTTCTATTGTTGCATAGCAATTACCCTAAAACTTAGTGGCTTAAAACAGCAAACATATATTATCTTATAATTTCTATGGCTCGAGAATCCACGCATAACTTAGCTGAATCCTCTGGCTCAGAATCTCTCAGAGGCTGCAGTCAAGATTGGCCATGGGCTGGGCGCTGTGGCTCATGCCTGTAATCCTAGCACTTTGGGAGGCCCAGGCAGGTAGATTGCTTGAGCTCACAAGTTCGAGACCAGCCTGAGCAAAGCAAGACCCTGTCTCTACTAAAAATAGAAAAACTGAGGCAAGAGGGTTACTTGAGCCCAAAATTTAGAGGTTGCTGGGAGTTAAGACACCATAGCACTCTACCAGGGCAACAGCTTGAGACTCTGACTCAAAAAAAAAAAAAAACAGATTGGTTATGGGCACTGTCATCTCAAGGCTCAGCTACAGAAAGATCCCCTTCCAAACTCAGTTATGTAATTGTTGGCAGGATTCATTTCTTTGTGGCTACTGTACCAAGGGTTTCAGTTGGCCAGGGACCTCACTTGGTCCCTTGCTCCATGGATCTCTGTAGAGACAGTTCACAACTTGGCAGCTCTTCCATCAAAGTCAGCAGGAGAAAGAGCAAGATGGAAGCCACACTCATCTTGTAACCTAATCTCAAAAATGACATCCCATCATTTTTGTCATATTTTATTCATTAGAAGCCTATACTCAAGAAGAGAGGATTACACAAGGGCATGAATGCCAGAAAGCAGAGTCACTGTAGCCACCTTAAAAACTGTCTACGTTGGGGTGGTGCCTGTGGCTCAGTGAGTAGAGCACCGGCCCCATATACCAAGGGTGGGGCATTCAAACCCAGCCCTGGCCAAACTACAATAGCAACAACAACAAAAATAGCCAGGCAATGTGGTGGGTGCTTGTCATCCCAGCTACTCAGGAGGCTGAGGCAAGAGAATTGCTTAAGCTTGTACCTCTTATAACCCTCTTATGTCTATTTCATGGATGAGCTAAAACATCTTTCTATCTTAAGGGGTTGGGTCTTAGAAGAGTTCTGCAAATCAGATCCAAAGTCTGATTTGATTAGTAACTGTGACTTGTTTCCAACTGAAAATAGGCCAGATGTTTAAGAGCAACCTGTGCAACATAGTGAGACCACATCTCTTCAAAAAATAAATTAAGGCTCAGCGCACATACACCAAAGGCTAGCAACGGCACCAGCCACATACACCAAAGGTAGCAGGTTAAAACCCGGCCTGGGTTAGCTAAACAAATGCAACAAAAAATTTCCGGGCATTGTAGTGGGCGCCTATAGTCCTAGCTACTTGGGAGGCTGAGAGAAGAGAATCACTTAAGCCCAAGAGTTTGAGGTTACTGTGAGCTGTGATGCCATGGCACTCTACTGAGGGCGACATAGTGAGACTCTGTCTCAAAAAAAAATTAAATAATTTTAAAAATCAGCCAGGCATGATGGCATATACCTATAGTCCCAGCTACTTGAGAGGCTGAGGTAAGGATTGTGCTTGAGCCCGGGAGTTCGAGCTTATAGTGAGCTATGATTACACCACTGCATTCACCTAGGTGATAGGGCAAGACCCCATCTCTTTAGAAAAAAAAATTATGGCTCAGCACCTGTGGCTCAAGCGGCTAAGATGCCAGCCACATACACCTAAGGTGGTGGGTTCGAATCCAGCCTGGGCCCACCAAACAACAATGACGGCTGCAACCAAAAAATAGCTGGGCCTTGAGGTGGGTGCCTGTGGTCCCAGCTACTTGGGAGGTGGAGGCAGGAGACTTGCTTGAGCCCAGGAGTTGGAGGTTGCTGTGAGCTGTGATGCCATGGC